CCACTCAGAAGTTCAAGACCAGCCTAGGCAACATAGCGAGAACGCGTCTCTACAAAAAATTAGCCAGGCATGGTGGTGTGCATCTGTAGTCCCAGTTACTCGAGAGGCTGAAATGGAAGAATTGCCTGAGCCCAGAAAGTAAAAGCCATGGTGAGCTGTGATCATGCTACCGCACTCCAGGCTAGGCAACAGAGTGAGACTCCAACTCAAAAAAAAAAGAAAAAAGCTAAGTTATAAAATGGATTCATGTATCGTTGTCACTAACACATACATTACCCTTAAAAAAACAAAGTTCAGGAAAACAGCTTCTTCGTCTAAGAATCTCAATGTACACAGAATAAAATTCACATCCTTATGATTGCATGAAAGGCTCTGTTTGATTGGGCCCCTGCTGACTTTTCCCGTCTCACTTGCTACCATTTTCTAACTCATCCATTATGAGAAAGGCACTTGCTTCCTTTTTATCCCTCAATTCGTCAAGTGTATTTCCATTTTCAGAGCCTTCTTTTCTTTTTTTTTTTCTGGAGTGAGAGTCTCACTCCGTTGCCCAGGCTGGAGTGCCATGACAAACGCATAGCCACCCCAGAGTCAACTCGCGGGCCTCCAGCGATCCTTCTGCCTCAGCCTTCCAAGTAGCTGGAACTACAGGTACGCACTACCACACCCAGCTATTTTTGATTTATTGTAGAGACAAGGTCTCGCCAAGTTGCCCGGGTGGGTCTTGAAGCCGCGGGCTCAGGCAATCCACACGCCTCTCAAAGTGCTGAGATGACAGCCTGAACCACCGAGCCCAGCTGAGTCTTTTCAATTACTGTGCTCTCTGCCTGGAACTCTGGCCCCAAATCTTCCAGTAGTTGACTCCACAGCATACAGATCTTGGCTCAAAAGGCACTCCTCAGACTTTCTTCCCTGATCACCTCAGCTATAGGAGTCAGTGAGCTCACCACTAGGACCAATCACAGGTAATTTACCGCATTTTTTTTTGAGTTGGGGTCTCATTCTGACGCCCAGGCTAGAGTGCAGTGGCACAATCATGGCTCACCTCTGTCTCAACCTCCTGGGCTCAGGCAATCCTTCCACTTCAGCCTCCCAAGTAGTTAGACTACAGGTACACACCACCACACCCAGCTAATTTTTTTATTTTATTTTTTGAAGAGATGTGGTTTTGCTATGCTGCCCAGGCTGGTCTTGAACTCCTGGGCTCAAGCAATGCTCCCACTTTTGTCTTTCAAAGCACTAGGATTACAGGTATGAGCCACTGCGCACAAGTTCCTCTATCTTACTATTATGATGCATACACATGAGATACTGTTCATCTTGGTCAGTTGTCCCTGGTGCCTAGAAGAATGTCTGGCTTATAGTTAAGAGTTCAATAAATTTTTATTAAATAAGTAAATTTCCAGATAGGGAAGAGTAAGCGATTAAGTGAATTCCAGTCATTTCTGTGCACAGACTCCACTTTTCCAGTGGGATTCTCACTTTGAATCCTATTAACACCTCATGCTAGGATCCCAGGAATATACAAGGGGAGCCCAAAAGACCTGGAATTTACTTATAAAAAAAGGTGTATTTTTTCTTACATGTTTCAACTTCAGTTACCTTCAGAGTACTCTTTGTTTCGTGCAATACACCTATCGAGACACTTTTTCCACTGCTCAAAACAGTTTTTGAATTTGTCAATTCTGATGCCTTTTAGTGCTTCTGCCCTTTTTTGTTTCACCTCTTCCACACTGGCAAAACGCTTCCCTTTGAGGACTTTTTTCATCCAGGGAAACAAAACAAAGTCACTCGGGCGAAATCAGGTGAGCAAGCAGGATGGAGCATGGAGGTCATGTCATTTTTGGTCAAAAACTTAAACACTCAGTGCACTGGGGGCAGATGCGTTGTGATGGTAACTTGGGACATTTCCTCTGCAAATCATGATGCAACCTTCTCAAAACTTCCAGATTAAAACTTTGGTTGATTGATCCAGAGGAACAAATTCTAAGTGTACTGCCAGGGGCTGGTATCTCAAGGCCAGTGCTGGTTTAGCTGTCCAAGGTGTTTCACACTGCCTTCTTGGACAGAGACTGAGTAAATTCTCCCTATGTGAGATGCCTCATACAGGGCGGTGAGGTCTTCTGGCTCATTAAGAGGTAGAAAGACTACCAGGGTCTTTCAGCATTCTCCAAAGAATGCTGCTTGAGGAGAAAGGCAGAAAGAAAGGCTCACTGTTCCTTAGTGTCTATTTGGGCCAGAAAAAGTGGTGTTGACTGAGATCTGAAGGCTGAGTAGGAGTTCAAAATGACAGTGGTTTGTTCAGTCGCGGTCCTGTTGCTTGCTGCACAGAAAGTCAATCATTGAGACAACAAGTGTTGTCAGAGATTCAGAAGGCTTTTTATTCAAGTGACATCAGCTAAGGAGAACGGGAGATCTTTTCAACTTTTATTTCTAAGACAAGGTTTCACCAATACAAAATCCACTTTTATTTATAGAGTACACTTTCCTGAAAATTCATATTTACAAAATTTATTTCATTAATAAAATGGGTCCTTTGCTGATATTGTCAATTACATATTAACAAGCGAAGAACATTCCATTTTTTTGCAGAAATAAGCCTCTTCCTTTTAAAAAAATAAAAGGAACCATTATTTCTGATTTTCTAAAATATACAAGAAAGAAAAACTGACTTGGTTTGTTTTCCATTAGAATTAAAATGCTTGGGATCAAAGTTTGGTTATCTAAGACTACATGTTAAATACTCTGTGAAAATATAATTATTCAGCATTCAGAGAACAGGAACCTCAACTACTCAGAAATCTTCAATCGTAAAAGTAAAGTTAAGGATCTCAACCAACAAAAATCTCTTTAATATACACAAGGTGAACCTTCCTCAAATTCTCAAACAATTAATTGTGTATAAAATAAGAAAGCAAATGAGAAGATATAAGTAAACCCCATTACAGTAAGAAATAATGGCAGCTGATAGTACAGAGAAGAGAAAGAACTATGAAAACACACAGACGATCTGGAGATATGAGAGGGGACCCCCAAAAACCCAGAATTTATTTATAAAAAATTGTGTATTTAGTCTTACATGTTTAAACTTCAGTCACCTTCAAAGTACTCCGTTTGATGCAGCACACCTATCGATATGTTTTTTCCACTGTTCAAAACAGTGTTTCAATTCATCAGTTTTGATGCATTGTAGTGCTTCTGCCTTTTTTGTTTTACCTCTTTCATATCGGCAAAACATTTCCCTTTGAGGACTTTTTTATACAGGGAAACAAAAAAAAAGGCGCTCAGGCGGATCAGGTGAACAGGGAGGGTGGGGCATGGGGATCACGGGGTTTTCGGTCAAAAACTGCTGAACCCTCAGCGAGGTGAGGGCAGATGCGTTGTGATGGCAGAAGAACCAGTCACCTGTTTGCCACCACTCAGGACATTTCTTCCACAAATCGTGAGGCAACTTTCTCAAAACGTCCAGATAAAAACTTTGGTTGGCCGTTTGATCCAGAGGAACAAACTCCGAGTGTACCACAAGGGGTCCACACTCCAAAAGGTAATTCCAGCTTTTTTGAGGTCCCCCTCGTATACACTGACGCCTTCACAGATGAAAGGATATGTCTGGGATTTGCTTCAAAATAATCCAGGACCAGTGAAGGTCAAATGAGGGTATGAATGAGAAAAGTTGAGTCATGTTTGATATTATGGAAAACAGGTGATAAGCAAAGAGGGTTTATCTTAGTATTCTTTACCCTTTTGCATATGCTTGACAACTTAGAAAATAAAAAAGTAAAACAAAAACAAACCCAAGCATGGAATGATAAGCCAATAGCTCCTGAAGATTATCAGTAAGGTTATGAACCATTTCCTAATGGCCAAATTCAAAGGCCTTTTCCAGCTCTCCTTGTATACACTCTCTTGATAGAACGACACTGCATCACACCTTTCCTTAACCTCTGATGTCTCTTCTCAAACTTTCTGACTCCTTTCCTCTTAGTCTCTTTAGGTGTTTCTTCTTTCTTTGCCCGCTTCCAAAGTTTGGAGGTCCCCAAAGTTCCTGTCTTTGCAAACTTTATGGATAATCTCAAGGCTTTAATTACACCTATATGCCAACAACCCTCAAATTGCTATTTTCCACTCCCACCTCCCTGGGGTACTAGAAGTATAGACACTGGATTGTAATCACCCCTTGGGAAATAAAAGACCCGTCAGCTTCTACTCCATCCTCTTCTTAGTGGCAGACAGCTTTTAACTTTGCTTGACACATCCGTTGAGATTCTCCTCCTAGCACTTCAGATGCAAAATATCCACAACCCCATTCATAATCTTTCTTGACATTTCCCCACTATAAGCAGTAGCGCTTCCTTGAAGCTCTCAGTCTTTCTGCTAAAGGTCCCCAATCAACCAGATCTCAAAGTCACGTGTGTCGGGGCACTTTCTTTGCATTCTTTCAGTTCTCCTACTTCCTATTTCCACTGCGTTAGCACTGATTACCTCCTGCTTGGACTACCGCCAAGACTGTCTAACTCATTTTCCTTCCTGTGGTCTCTTCCAGTTTCAATCTATCACAGAGAGTTGCCAGATTAATATTCTTGAAAACAATCAAGAAAACAATTTCACTCCTGTAATAAAAAATTTTTAATGGATCCCCTCTGGCTAGTAAATAAATAACCAGATAGTCAATGCCCTTTCCATCACCTAAACTCCAGTCAAACTCAGTTCCCACAGCATTTTATGTCTCCTTCTATGAAGAGACCTTTTTCTTTCTGCTAGCTACTACAGCTGATTTAAAGTCACCCTTACTTTTCCCCATCATCTGTCGGCCATTTGAGGGCAGGGAATCGCAGCTTAATATCTCCCCACCGAAAATAACACAGTAAGTAGTGTTTGTGAAGGAAAAAAAGACATCAGAATAAAACCAAATTAACTTTAAGCTACGAACAGTATTTCAATTCTCTTTCTTGCAGAATGTAGTCTTTTCAGAATGAGGACATACAATAAAATCTATTCGTTACCTGTTATTACATTTATATCTGGGTACTGGTTTTCACACAGACCAACAGCTTTGCTATCCCTCTCAAAAGCCTCTCGAAGTTCTTTCTTGACTGCTGCCGAACCACATAATCGATACAGGCCTACTACCTAGAAATAAAACCATGGCCACATTATAATAAATTTCATAAAGAGAAAACATAGTACAATATAAATCACATGAATTTGGCAATCAAGTATGTTCTGATGGCATTTAATTTAAAATACTTCAGACATAGTTTCTGAAATCTCACTATAGACTATCTTGATTAATTTAATGAAAATATCCTATTTAAATCCAAACAATACACCACCATTTCTGTAGTGCTGGTTATACCTTAAGCAGAGATGCAGTTCCTTCTCTTTAGTTTTATATGCTTAATCACTATCTCCATGTCCTAAGGATGTGTCATAGTCTTTGTCAGTCTTTTGTTCTAGACGAAAGTCGTTCAGCACAGAGACTGAACGAGGTTTTTAAAGTCTTAAAACCCCACTCTGTCACTCTTTGCTTGGTGAATTTGGACAAGTTATTTAATCTCTTTAACACTCATTTTCTTTATCCTTAAAATAAGTATATCATTGAAACAAGGTTCTACATACTATTTGTACAAAATTTGTAAGAAACAAGTTCTCAGGAAGAGATAAAAGCAAACCTGTAACTTCTTTTTTAATTTGTCAAACTTATTATAAAGTGGTGGAGGAAATTTCAGACAACGTATTAAAGGTAAGATAAAGCCTCTGCTTCGAAACGTACACACAACGCACAGATACTGCTCATCCTACCCACCTACATTGAAAAGACTTGTTTTTTTAAATGCTGTTGGTCCAGGCAGGTTCGAAAATATTAAGTCTTAAGATATTATTATAAATTGACCGAGAATTTATCAACATCATCTGTATAACGAGAAAATATGCCTGAAGAAGCTATCAAAGTTCTTTGAAGTAATAAGCCTTAAAAAAAATGAAGAATAACTGGTTGCTACCCATAGTGCCACAACAAAGCCTACTTAGAAGTTTAATCACCTTGAAGTGAAAGAAAAGTTATGTAGAAATAAATTATCTCAAGGCAGAAAGTAAAAACAGTCCTCAAGGATTCAAACCAGGAATCACCATAAAATGTAACAAATGACACTTCCAGGTTTACTTATGATACTACTCTCTCCTGACTCATTAAAGAACTGATAGAATACACTACAGAAGGTGAGTTTCTATATGAGAAAGCGTCAATAATGGAACAGGGAAGTATTATCCAAAATATTTGACATGATAAGCTAATTGAAAGATAGTAAAGAACCTAGAATTATTTCTAAGAGATAATAATGCAAGATGCTGCTACATTCAAATGTATCAACATAAGATGGGAAACCAGGGAATATAGAAGAAAATTCAAATTCCCTACTCGTATCCACATTCATGATGCATTCAAACTGAGAATAGCATGTTATACCAATCACATCATCTCAAGAAAGACATAGTAGAAATGCAGATGACCTAGAAAATGAAACCAAAATAGTAAGCAGGATCAAGGAAATGCTACCACAATAGAAGAAACTAACTCGATCATAGCTGTTCTGGTACAGGCCCATTTAAGTGTCACAGAATACTGTAAAACAGTATCCCCCTTGAACTTGAGAAGAAGATGAACCCAGAACAACTTAATGGAAGAACTACTGAACTAGCAGGCAATAAACTAACAGCACAGCTGGGCTCGGTGGCTCAGCCTGTAATCCCGCGCCTTTGGGAGGCTGAGGTGAGTGGACTGCCTGAGCCCGCGAGTTCGAGACCTGCCTGGGCAGCGAGACCTCATCTCTACAATAAATCAAAAAATCAGCCGGGCGTGGTAGCGCATGCCTGTAATTCCGGCTACTTGGAAGGCTGAGACGGAAGGATCGCCGGAGCCCAGCAGATCGAGGCTGCGGTGGCCGGGAGCGGCCCCTGCACTCCAGTCTGGATGACAGAGTGAGACTACAACTCAAAAAAAATAAATAAATAAAAATAAACTAACAGCACCTTTGATCCTAAAAAGCTGAAATCACAAATATAATGTTTAAGAAGATGAATCAAGAAAGGAAGACCTAATATACATATTTCAAGGAAGGGATATTTGAGGATAACTTCAGATGCTGACTTCTTGAGTCAAATCCTTGAAGCACATGCTCAATTCCTCTATCAGAGACAGGATCTGTACTGGGTGGACCATGAGTATGCTCTCTGTAGTAATGTTTCCCACTGGTGATAGCAGCATTCAGAACATTTGGAAGATACAAAGGCCCATGAATAAACTATTTTGTATAACTATCAAAACCTATTTTCACAGTGAAAAAAATGAGAATATTTATCTAATAATTATAATAAAATGAGAATTTAGTTCACAGGAAATCTTTATTAAAACAAATCTTGCTGGGCTTGGTGGCTCAGCCTGTAATCCCACGCTTTGGGAGGCTGAGGTGAGTGGATTGCCTGAGCCCGCGGGTTCGAGACCCGCCTGGGCAACTTGGCGAGACCTCATCTCTACAATAAATCAAAAAATCAGCCATGTGTGGTAGCGCGTGCCTGTAATTCCAGCTACTTGGAAGGCTGAGGCGGAAGGATCGCCGGAGCACAGCAGGTCGAGGCTGCAGTAGCCGGTAGCAGCCACTGCACTCCAGTCTGGGTGACAGAGTGAGACTCCAATTCAAAAAAAACCAACAAAAAAACCCAACTCTTTCTAAACTTTAAGGACAGATATAAAAAGCATCACTAAAAATGTTTTCTAGGCACATAAAACAAGTGGTAACATTTCTAATAACTACTAAAAAGGCAAACAAAATTAAAGCAAGGCGGGCACAGTGGCTCAAGCCTATAATCCCAGCACTCTGGGAGGCTGAGGCGAGAGAACTGCTTGAGACCAGGAGTTCGAGACCAGCCTAGGCAACTTGGTGAGACCTCATCTTCACAATAAATAAAAAAATTAGCCGGGCGTGGTGGCTCGTGTTGTTGTTCCATCTACTTGGAAGGCTAAGATGGAAGGATCATCTGAGCCCAGCAGGTCAGGTTGCGGTGGCCATGAGTATGCCAATGCATTCTGGCCTGGGGGACAGACTGAGACTCCAACTCAAAAAAAAAAAAATTTAAGGCAGTATTTCAGTGTGTAAAATGCAGGAACAATAAGCCTCTTTCTGTCTGTGTGTGTGTGTGTGTGTGTGCGCACGTGCACGTGTGTACATGTGTATGCGTATAGGTGAGGGAAGGAAAAAATAAGGGTGATAAGACAAAAAAGGTTTTTAAAAATTATAATTCTAAAAGTACAATAAGGCCAGGTACAGTGGCTCACGCCTATAATCCCAGTACCTTGAGAGGTGGAGGTGAGAGGACTGTTTGAGCCCAGGAGTTCAAGAGCAGCCTGGGAAACTTGGTGAGACCTCATCTCTCTACATTAAATCAAAAAATTAGCCGGGCATGGTGGTGCATGCTTGTAGTCCCAGCTACTCAGGAGACTGAGGCAGAAGGATCACCTGAGCCCAAAGGTTGTGGCTGCGATGACCGTGAGTGTGCCACTGCACTCTAGCCTGGGTGACAGAGTGAAACTCCAACTCAAAAATTAAAAAATAAAATAGGCTGGGCGCGGTGGCTCACACCTATAATCCCAACAATTCGGGAGGCTGAGGTGAGAGGATAGCTTGGGCAACTTGGTGAAACCTCATCTCTACAATAAATCAAAGAATTAGCCAGGTGTGGTGGCGTGTGCCTGTAGTTCCAGCTACTTGGAAGACTGAGGCAGAAGGATCGCCTGAGCCCAACAGGTTAAGGCTGTGGTGGCTGTGAAGTGTGCCACTCACTCCAGCCTGACGATAAGAGTCACACTTCAACTCAAAAAAATAATATATTCATCTATAAAAGTTTCTGTTTAATAATTAGCCTTAGGACCAGGCACGGTGTCTCATGCTTCTAATTCCCAACTTTGGGAGGCTGAAGCAGGAGGATTACTTAGCCTAGGAGTCCAAGGTTACAGTAAGCTATGATCACACTGCTGAACTCCAGCCTGGGTGACAGAGTCAGACTCTACCTCTAAGAAAAAAAAAAAACCAAAAAGAAAAGATAATAATAATCAGCTTTAAATTCTCCCTAATCCCTGAACTCTCTATATACTGCCTGAATTAAAATGGAGGGGAAAACAGAGAATCTAAAGAAAGAAAAATAACTGACCAAAAGTTGAATTTGACTTTACTGTCCATTCCCACAGAGACAACATAAACTACAGACAGAATTATGTACCTGGGTTAGAAGCTGTTTCAAAAGTTCAGACATCTTACATCTTTGCATCAGGCAGCTACTACAACTATTTTTTAATAGATATAAATAAGTAAGACCCACAGAGATTAAGTGACTTGCTCATCACCCAGCTAAGTAATAATGGAGGAGAAATTCAGTTCTTCGTCATCTTAATACAAAATTCCACTAACTTATGCTGTTTCTATAGTTTTCATGTTAAGTTCAAAGTGAGTTTATTAAATTAAAAAATGATACTCCAGATTTTATGATATTTACCCTCAGTGTCTTTATCTTTGTGAATGCTAATAGCACTGGAGTGGAAATAACTCAACATAATGATTTTTCATCCTCATCTGTTTCACAAAAATTAGTATAAACAATTAATTATATACTTCAGAATAATATCCTCAAGGATATGCTGATTCTCATTGTGATAGTCTACATGTATTCATAAAAATAAAGAAAAATAAGGTCTCATAACTGGCTAACTTTTCCGTATCTTGTTACAAATAACACCAGATTTTTTGTTTTAATGGTTTGCCTCTGTCTTCTTCTTTAAAAGAGAATGCGATGTGTTTTATTAGTAGGACCTCGCCTCATCCTCCGTGCTATTCCAGAGTAGAGAAATAGGTAAGTTATGCCTTCTAAAGAGTGGACTTGAGAGGGAGTTGGGAAAAAGGACAAGGAGTTAATGTTAGGAGTGAACCTTCTCTATAGAATTCACTCTTAGAACCTTCCCTAGTAGGAATGTCAAACCATGAAGCAACATTTCTTAAATGAATTAGCCTTCGCCTATATTGTCAGCTTTGGCTTTTCCTTGGAATGCCATTATAAAGCAATCCTGACCTCCAGTTATAAGACTCGGGCAGCTCTGCACCACAGCGTAAACTGTGGAACCATCTAGCATGCTTTCAATCACTGACAACATAGGTTAAGATATGAATTATATCCCAAAGAGTAATGGAAGAAAAACAAGGAGTAGGAATGGGAAATTGTCTAAATGAGGTTTTTTTTTTTACATGACCTTGAATTCCTTCCCCAAGACTTCAAATCAATCAATCAGTAAAGGAGGTAGCAGAGAAACATAGTGAAATAGTACCTGACAGCCCCTCTTTTCAATTTCCGTAATACATTTCTGTATCAGGAGTGGCACCATCAGTGCTGTATCTTCTTTCTCTACAACTTTTCGAATATCAACTCCAAATATTACTGGTTCTCGACTTGTATCTAGTCCATGAAGAGAGTTCTCCCACTGTTCCATAAGAGTCACTTTCACATAAATAAGACCTCTGGGTTCAAGTTTGACAGCCAACTGATGTGTTTTTGTCACTCTGAATAGGGTGGGGAGAACAACAGTTCCATGACAACAAACTCGATTTTTTCTTGGCGTGGGTTCCCAACTGAATACTACTAATTTCAAATGTTGTGCATTTTCAATTTCTATGTTAAAAGTGTGATCCATGTCTAAAAATGTTGTCCGACATGTGAGCAAAGCTGTTCTTGCTTTGTTTACTGAATCGACCTGAATTGCACAAAAGACATCTTTTGAATCTATCCGGGGTGGTTTTAAATCCTCAGCACCATAGAAATGCACACTCATGAGTCCAGAGATGTACTGTGAACATTTAGGTTGATCAGAAAAGCTATAATGCCTAAAAGCATCAATGTCTATTTCATTCTTGCTACAATTATTCGAAATGATTTCTTTTCCTTTTCCAAACTTGTTTTCAGATCCATGTTTGTTAGCTTTAGTTATAAGTTCAGGTGAGTCTCCATCACTGAGGTAACCACCTTTGCAAGAATACTTAGAACTCACAGAGGTTTTCTTCTGGTAGCTGTGCTGAGAAGATACACTGGTATCAAGATGGTACCGGCTTATAACATTCCTCTTAGCAGCTGTGGTTGTGTTCCCAGAAGGCAGAATAACAGTATGATGAATTTCTTGACAGTTACATTTAGGCAAAGGGCTATTATCTGGACTGTTTATATAATTCAAGGTTCCCTTAACACTCAGCTTTCGGCTAAATTCTGGCAACCTTTTCATTTTCATGGAAAGTTTCCTCACAGTTCGTGGAGATTTTATTTTATCTGGCAAAGACCAATTAATTGAACTGCCTTTTTTCACAGGACTAGGGCTTGGAGAAGATGGTTCTATAACTCCCAATTCAGTCCTACTTGTAGCAGAGAGGATCCCAGAACCTTAAAAAAAAAAAAGAAAGAAAAAATATAAAGTGGCATGTTTTGATTTCTACTTTCACTCCTATTTGATAAACCATCAACTAAAAAAGTTCTCATATGGACAGGAATTACTCCCTTGTTTCATCTCAACAGGGAGACTGAGTCAAGTTCAGGTCAATTTGCATCACCATGTTCAAGCAGAATACTGCATTATCCCAGTTAATTAATTTTTCATACTTTGTCTATTCCTTACAGAGGAAGATCTAATAAACTCAATCAGAAGCTAATTTGTGATACATTTCACAATTAAAATGAGAGGAAGTGTTTATTCACTAAAAAAAATCAATAGATTAAATGACCTTTCTTTGGAGTATTAATAATCCCCCTCCACCCTTCTTCTCTATGTGTTCTAATGACAAAGAAGTCGTTTCTTCATAGAGAAAGAAACTATTTTAAGTATGCCTACTGGGCTTTTCTGGTAAGCAGTTAATGAGAAATGGCGTGTTTGATAAACTGGACAAAGCATCCCCTTGTACTGCACATCATAATACAATTCTACTGGCTTCCTAGTCTAAAACATTCAATAGCAATCAGGGTCTTGCTTTTGTCTATGAACATTAATCTATCTATTTTATCACAGCCTAGAAAAACTATCCAGTATATTAAAAAAAGTTCTAGATTGTATTAAATTATTGAGTTCAACATTCTCTTTTTACACAATGAGTAAATAATTCCTACTGAAATCCTTAATTATAAAAAGAAATACTGTTCATGATAGCAACTTCTACTGCAGACAATACTGAATTTATTAAAACAAAAAAGTTTTGTTTTTACAAAATCCAAGAGCTGAAATATTACTAAATCCCACAATCACGTAAACTATATTTACACTAATCAAATCACATTGTTTTTAAGAAAAAAGTACAAAATGGTTATAGATTTGTAAACTAGGCTAGAGTCGTCAAGTGAAACTGGCACACTCCTTTCAGCATCTAGAATAGTAACTGGCATAGAATAGGAACTCAGAATTTAGTGAAGTAATCAACCAATCACTGATTCACCTGTCAATCCGTAAACCTTTTAGGAAATACAAACTGTACAGAAATTACCAATAATAGCTACCAGTCATACAGACCAAGTGATGTTACTAATAATTGATCCTAATGAAGTAAAAAAAAAAAAAAATCATGATAAAAACCAATGCAATAGCACCGGAAACAATCTAGTAACACCTAACATTAGAGAAGCAGTCAAATAGATTAGGGCACATCAACCCAATTAAATACTACACTATAAAGCTTGAGAAACAGTAAAGTTAATCTACAAGTAACAATGCAACATAAATACCAAGTGAAAGTAGCAAAAACCAAAAAAAAAGTCCACTATGACTGCAATTAGATAAAAGATGCACATACATTTGAAAGTTAATAAGCAAAAAAAACAGACCAGACTCGGTGGCTCAGCCTGTAATCCCAGCACTTTGGGAGGCCGAGGCGAGTGGACTGCCTGAGCCCGCGGGTTCGTGACCAGCCCAGGCAATTTGGCAAGACCTCGTCTCTACAATACATACAAAATTAGCCAGGTGTGGTAGCGCGCACCTGTAGTTCCAGTTACTTGGAAGGCTGAAGTGGTAGGCTCACTGGAACCCAGCAGTTTGACGCTGGGGTGGCCGTGAGTGTGCCAAAGCACTCCAGCCTGGCTGACAGAGTGAGATTCCAACTCAAAAAAAAAAAAAAAAAGCAAAAAAGCAAGTCATAACTGTGACAGTATGATTTTTTACATCATCCTTTATATTCAAATATTTATAAGTTGGCTTTCCATAACTCATAAATTATAAACTTTTTAAAAATAAATTTCTATAATATAAACTCTCCATACTTAAACATTAGTTTTTCCATAATTGTGATGGGATGATTTTTTAAATTGTTGCTCATCTTCAGCATATTTATAAATTAACTTTTCAATTCTCTGATCAAAAAGTTATTTTGAAATTCAACCATTCTCTTTACCAATTTCTCAATAGCTTTCTGTCAATATTGCTTAAGAAAATAGATTAATTTAGGTAGTGTATCAAAAGAAAACAAAAAAGATGGCTTGTAAATAAACCGTCTACACATTTCCTTTGGTCAATTTAGGATTGTCCTTATTATGTTATGATTGTATATCTATAAGAAGAATAACAAAGAAAGAAGACAAAAATGGTAGCCATACTGTACTTTTAAGTTTTGTTTTTTTTTAAAGTGTCTTTTCCCGTTCACAATTTGTCACAAACATTAAAAAAAAAAGTTTGAATCAAAGGGTGTGTCACTTCATAGACACCGCCTTTTTTTTTTTGAGTTGGAGTCTCACTCTGTTGCCCAGGCTGGAGTGCAGTGGCATACTCACAGCCACCGCAGCCTCAATCTGCTGGGCTCAAGTGATATTTCCGCCTCAGCCCTCTAAGTTGCTGGGACTACAGGCATGCGCCACCACGCCCGGCTAATTTTTTTATTTATTGTAGAGAAGAGGTCTCAACAAGTTGCCTGGGCTGGTCTCAAACCCATGGGCTCAGGCAATCCTCTTACCTTGGCCTCCCAAAGTGCTGGGATTATAGGCGTGAGCCACCACGCCCAGCCTTCACTCTTTTTTTTTTAAGAGACAGGGTCCTGTTCTGCTGCCCAGACTGGAGTGCAGTGGTGCAGTTATAGCTCGTGCAGCCTTCCAACTCTCAGGCTCAAACAACCTTCCCTCCTCAGCATCCCAAGTAGCTGGGACTACAGGTACGTGCCACTACCTCTGGCTAATTTATTTTTTATTTTTTATTTTTGTAGAGACTGGAGTCTTACTATGTTGCCCAGACTGGTCTCGAACTCCTGGCCTCAAGGGATCTTCTTCCCACCTGGGCCTCCCAAACTGCTGAGATTACAGGCGTGAGCAACCGCATCCAGTCAACACCAGCTTTCTAACTTTGTTCTCATCTTTATACCCTCTTGCCTTCTCTGACAATCCTGTCTCTAAAACTACAGTCTTCCCTATCACTCCACTCTGATCACAACCTGCATTCCGGACTACTATTTTACATAGTATTTATTTCTCTTCCCAGCCAGATTACAAAAGAAACACGTTCACTCAGGAGAATTAGCCTTCAATTGGAAATGCACAAAGAAAAAAAACATTTTTTAAAATTACCTTCAATCCCAATGCCCAGAAAAACAGCAACAACAAAAAGAAACATCTCCAATAAATCTTTCAGTATCTCTTTTAAATCTGCCGGCATACTGTACACACTGTTTTGGAACTCACATTTACTCCTAATATAACGTTTACTCTCCACTTCCTCATGTTCCTGAGAAAAGGTTTCAAATGCAAGTAGTATAATACAGAAACACCAGTGAGGAAGTGAGAAAACTCAAGGGGAAATTCAAGGTGAATTATCAAGCCTACTATCACTATGGGCAACTGAACCTTACCAGAAAACTCTGGGAAACAATGTAGAATACGGACTCATAGTTATCCCGCCCAAGAGGTGAGGGAGCTGGGGAAGTCCTGCACCAGCTTTTGTGAGTCACCGGTGGAGACGCTTCTCAAGCTGCCCTGCAGAAAGATCCCCTAACACTCCAGATAAAGTCTTCGAGCAGAGATGTAGATCGAGCAACTGGATACAGGCTTCCCCATTTAAATAGTAAGTGACTCAAGGAATGTGGGGCAAGGTATACCCCACATCTGCAAACTCGCATCATTTGAAATTCTATCAGTTAAAATGACTTGATATAAAACAGATCTACTTTCTATTTCATATGTGATATTTGCAAGCAAATGCGCTTTATGCTCTGTTCCTGGATAGTGTGCCAGGTACTAAAAGAAACATATCAGAACAGAAAGCAATCAAGGAAGAAAAAAACCAATACGCTGAACTATATAAAGTGCTTTTTTTGCAGGTCAAAACCTTCTGAGGTTGGCCGCGGTGGCTCAGCCCATAATCCCAGCACTTTGGGAAGCCGAGGCAAGAGGACTGCCTGAGCCTGGGGGTTCAAGACCAGCCTGGACAACTGGGTGAGAACTTGTCTCTACAATAAATCACAAAAAACTAGCCAGGCGTGGTGGCATGCATCTGTAATTCCAGCTACTTGGGAGGCGGAGGCAGAAGGATCGCCTGAGCCCAGCAGGTTGAAACTGCACTGGCCATGAGCATGCCATTGCACTCCAGCCTGGACGATGAGTGAGACTTCAACTCAAAAAAATAAAACCAAAAACTAAAAAACTTTTGAAAGTCTATAATCCCAGGCCAAGGAAGGAGGATTGTTTGATCCCCAGATATCAAGATCAGTCTGGGAAATATAGCAAGACCTCGTCTCTTCAAAAAAATAAAAAAGTTAGCCAGGCATGGTGGCATTCCAGCTTCTCAGTAGGCTGAGGCAGAGGAGAGCTTGAGCCCAGGAGTTTGAGGCCACAGTGAGCTACGACTGTGCCACTGCACTCCAGCCTCAGTGGCAGAGTGAGACCTTGGTCCTTAAAAAAAAAAAATTGGAATATCAGCAATTTCATATGGTTCAACCTGGTACATATCAAACTTCAATTATTTCATTTTTCGGTTCCAAAACTTCTGTAGCACCTGTTTATAAGGCCTTTACTTCTACCTTCATTTATTTTTCTCTTCTCCTGCTCCTCTGCTCATCAAGACACTTAGCATGAAAACATAAACTAAGTACCACTGGTGTACCAAAAATACAACTTTCCAGCTGTGCCCAGACCAGGTATGAATGAATGAATGAAGCAAAATAAGATCTACATAAAGAATGTATCTTTTTCTTCTATTCCCATGATTTCATTCAACTAAGAGAAAAGCAATTGCTGACTCAAAAGTTCAACATACTAAAGCACACTGGATTATAAAATCAAGTCTAGGATGGAAATAATTAAACCAGCATGTATATAAAAATGTTTAGAAACCTTTGAGTTTGAAAACATTCATTTTGTAAGAAAAAGTACATAAATACAATAGACATCCTTTATATTTGGTCTCAGCAACTATCAAACAATTTTAAAATGGAAAAAGAAAGAAAAGGCAGATATGACCTGCAAAAGGAGATTTTAGCATGGAGCTATTGTCCACCATTATACCTTCTTGTGTCCTGGGTCCTGGCCTTTGCTTGTACTGCTGCACAAAATCTGTGGAAAGGGTGGCATCTACAGAATCAGCTTCATTTGACCGCGTGGTATGATCACCCGTGTGCTCAGACGAGCCCATCCCGTCTTCAGGATGTGGCTCTGCTCTCATCAGGTCACTGCCAGACAAAACACTCACACTGACAACAGGAAGCTTGAGAACAGTAGAGTTTGCTTCACCAAAACTTAAGGCACTCGAGATCCCAAGATCATCATCTTCAGGAATGGGGTTGTACCAAATTTCTCCTTCATCATCTGCATCGTTTTCTTCATTAAAATCTAAAGAACAGTTTCTTGAGAATGAAGAGTTGGCAGCATTACACACGACATATGTGCAGTGTTCCTCAGATGATCTGAGGAAAGACCGTGCTAGCCGGTGTTTAGGCAGAGACCTGGATGAGATGGACAGATTTCCGCCTTGGCATTTCTTATTTTCTTCTTCCAGATTAAGAGATCTCAGAGTACTCTGATATAGCCAATTGCGTTTCTTTGAAACAGTGATGCTGTTAAGTGGCTTAGGATCTCTAAATTCAATATTATCCTTCAGATCTTTAAGTTCTCTTCTTTTCATTGAAGACTCATAGACATTTTCAAATAAATCTGTTTCAGAGACAGAACAGAAGGTAGAAGATAATGTTTGGTATACCATGAAAGACATGTCATTTCAGACCAGTTATCAAAATTTTTTAAAGATAAGAAAGAAAAGTAATATTAATCACATTCAGGGGCCAGGAGCAGTGGCTCATGCCTATAATCCTAGTACTTTGGGAGACAGAGGTGAGAGGATTGCCTGAGCCTAGGGACTAGGCAAGACCAGCCTGGGCAACTTGGCAAGACCTTGTCTCTATAATAAATTTTAGCCAGGTGTGGTGGCACATGCCTGTAGTTCCAGCTACTTGGAAGGCTGAAGTGGAAGGATCGCCCGAGCCCAGCAGGTCGAGGCTGCAGTGGCTGTGAACATGCCACTGCACTCCAGCCTGGGCAACAGAATGAGACTCCGACTCAAAAAAGAAAAAATCACATTCAGAAACTAAAATTAAATAACAAAAAATGTAAATCTTCCACTTAAAATATGATTTCTATTACTTAGAAATCAGACTGCAAGTACAAATGTTAAAGAAATCAAGAAAAAGGATAAACAAACTCCGAGATTGCCTTTATAAAAATTATAGTGCAACAAAGCCTTACCCTAAGCAAAACATACTTCATAAAAAGGAATACCTTGCACATAGAATGTCTTTAATTAATATTTTAATAAATCCCACCTCACTATTACAAAGTCCAGAAGTCTTTACAAAATGCAAGTACTATTCCTCCTACCTTTTTATACAAAAATTAACTTTCAATAACAAAAATGTATGCTTTACTAATTACTAAAATGTCAGCATAACATTGGTTTCCTAATCATATAGCACAGTGGAACCTTATGTAGAATTTAAGCTCTAAATGTCAAGGGCAAAAATAAAAATTCCTTAAGAAGGCGTCAAATTAGAACCAAGTATACTGTCTCACAGTGCGCACAACACAATTACTATTTTTGGTCAGGCACAAACTTAAGCAGCAGGGAAATAAGAATGAACAAAAAAACTGGGCTCGGTGGCTCAGCCTGTAATCCCAGCACTTTGGGAGGCCGAGGCGAGTGGATTGCCTAAGCCCCTGGGTTCGAGACCCATCCAGGCAACTTGGCGAGGCCTTATCTCTACAATAAGTCAGAAATTAGCCAGGCGTGATAGCGCACGCCTGTAGTTCCTGCTTCTTGGAAGGCTGAGGCGGAAGGATCGCGGGAGCCCAGCTGGTCGAGGCTGCGGTGGCTAGAAGCATGACACTGCACTCCAGCCTGGGCAATGAGGTGAGACTCCAAAACAAAACAAAAACAAAAAAGAACAAAATAGTCATTCCCCTTAAGAAATTCAGAGACCAGTGGGAGACCTCAAAAACTTAGGTATGTATATCTCTTAATATAATGAGATAAGACTCTAAAAATGTACATATGTCATTCATTTCATTTCAAGAGGACAATTTCTTGTGCTTCTGAAGTTACATAAAGCAGGCTTCAATGATAGTTGATAAGCTAAATATGTAACTATCATCATCATAGTAATTCACTGCACATAATTAACACCACATTTGTAGAAACCTAAGATCATGTCAGGTTTGAAAATTATGAAATTATGGTTGATTCATCTTAGTGTCACCACAAGTAAAAAATAATGATCTAATAATAGAGTGATAAAACACATTAAGCTATGAGGAGCTTAATAACAACTAAAAATTAGGTTCATGCATAATCAAGGCTTTCAGTAACCTCCTGAAAAAAATCCTTTACAAAATGTAACTGTGTCTTTCCTTTTAATCTTAAACATGTACCCAATCAGATTTAAAAAATAAGAAACAAAAAAAACTTAAACACAAATTGGGGTTCAAGTTCAATTCCAGATGCAGGGATTAGACTAGAAATCAGAAGGGAAGTTCCCATGAATATATACTAAGCCGGTCATTTATTTATTCCACAAATGAGTGACTACTATGTGTCAGGCACGAGAGGAAAGCATAAAGGAAACCCCAACCTCATTTAACTCCAACAATCCTCTAAGACAGGTATATGACTACCATCATGAGCCTCAAAGAATGTGAGAAACTGGTCAAGTTACTAGCTCTAGGATTCAAATTTAAGCCTGTCCTATCCTAAAACCCATGCTCTCACCTTCTCCACACCATAAATAATACAAAAGTAGGCAACCCTCTCTGATAATATCATCCCAATTTATCTTACAAGGTGGCTGCCAATAAGGAATAAGTGAGATAATGTTCAAAATACCTTACAAACTATATGGTTCTACTAAAAAACAAAAAATCAAGACACTTGCCCAAGACCATCTACCTGATAAATGGAAGAGGCGATACTCAAACTCTTCTGACTCCAAAGTGTACAGTGGTGCACTCGGGGAATACTCAAACTCTTCTGACTCCAAAGTGTATAGTAGTGCACCACCACTAAGGGAAACCCACCTCCACCCTCCAGGATTTACCATGCAAACGTATAACAGATATTCAATAAATACCTTGAATTGACTTTAAGTTAATTAACAAAAACTTGAAGACTCAAGAGTCTTTCTTTGGTTCTACCTCCATTACACCTAAAATTAAGAACTGAAAATCAACACATACTCAGGAATCACTGGGGCATCTGGGTTCCCAGTGACCACATGCTTTTGCCAGGTGCACTGAAATCTAAATTTCATGTTTCAGTCCAAAGCCTATATTACTTAACAGCATGTCAGACCTTCACAGGGCATTAGATACAGTTTGACACAGTTTAAATTTGAAGGAAGATGTGTAAAATTATATAACTCGTGATGGTTATAAGCCATATCTTATTTTATCTTTCCTCAGACATCTCTTACACCATACAACATTTTATATAGCTAAACAAATTATTTTGAGTCTTCTTGGCAGTTTTTTTAGCATACACTATAAATGATTCCTTAAACATTCTTCTACTACATTTCAAGAAACTGCAATGGGAAAAATAAAGCTAGCAGCACCCCACAGTTAAGCAAGTTGATACTTCCACTGACATAAGCGTTTAATAAAAGTATACTGTTGGCCAGGCATGGTGGTGCACGCCTGTAATCCCAGCACTTTGGGAGGCTGAGGTGAGAAGACTGCCTGAGCCCATGGGTTCTAGACCAGCCTAGGCAACTTGGCAAGACCTCATCTCTACAATAAATCAAACAATTAGCCAGGCATAGTGGTGCGTGCTTGTAGTTCCAGCTACTTGGAAGGCTGAGGCGGAAGGATCACCTGAGCCCAGCAGGTCGAGGTTGCAGTGGCCATGAGCGTGCCACTGCACTCCAATCTGGGCAACAGAGTGAGATTTCGACTCAAAAAAAAAAAAGAAAAAGGAATAATCACGCTGTGAAACACAGGACAACTATTTTTAGTGAAACCACAAAAGCTTGAAACCACTCATATAGTCTGATCGCTATTACCCAACATCTTAAAATACATGATGTTGAAGTTTAAAAATATACATAAATGCTACATTATTATAATTTCTGATAAAGGCCAAACTTATTCAGTTATTAAAACTGAATTAAGCAACACATTATTCAAAGGAATAAACAGTACTTGAGCAATTATTTATAAATCATTTAAGATTTTTATCTCAATTAAATGGATGCATATGAACATAAATTCACAAAACTGGCAAGCTATTTGTAATCTTCCCTCCCATTTTATGCTAAAATTAATGTTTACCCCTATTAGTATAAATTTAAGAGTTATTTTTAGTTTTAGGTTATATATATGCTGAAAGAAGGTACCAGTAAAAATATAAAAATAAATATACAAGCCAGGTATGGTGGTGCATGCCTATAGTTCCAGTTACTTGGAAGGCTAAGGCGGAAGGATCTCCTGAGCCCAGCAGGTTGAGGCTGTGGTCGCTGTGAGCCTGCCACTGAGCTCCAGCCTGGGTGACAGAGCGAGATTCCAACTCAAAAAATATTAAAAAATAATAATAGTAATAAGTATACAGGCCGGGCTCGGTAGCTCAGCATGTAATCCCAGCACTTTGGAAGGTCAAGGTAAATGGACTGCCTGAGCCCATGGGTTCGAGACCAGCCTGGGCAACTCGTCTCTACAATAAATTAAAAATTGGCCGGGAGTGGTAGCACGGGCCTGTAGTTCCGGCTACTTGGAAGGCTGAGGTGGAAGGATCCCAGAACCCAACAGGATGACACTGGGGTGGCCGTGAGTGTGCCACTGCACTTCAGACTGGTCCAATGCAGTGAGACTCCGACTCAAAAAAAAAAAAAAGAAAAAGTATAAAGTTGCAAGGCACAAAAGTTCTCATTCTCATGCAACTATATATGTTATGGTATAATTTTCAGATTCGAATTAAAGTTGTTTTACTTTGAATCTATATGAGAACACAGAAGTGGTAATTAAAAGTTTTCACTCAGAGAAATATTCTCCATAGTGGTGAATTACTCAAGCCAATTTTGTTTTCTCAACTATTATTTCATAATAAATCTAGATGACTATTACTAAATATGTAGCTAGTGCCCCCTGTCCAAAAGCATTAGCAAACTTTTCCAGAATGTTTTTCAACACTCATTGAAAATGTACAGTATCGCTGGGCACGGTGGCTCAGCCTGTAATCCCAGAGCTTTGGGAGGCCGAGATGAGTGGACTGCCTCAGCCTGCGGGTTCGAGACCTGCCTGGGCAACTTGGCGAGACCTCGTCTCTACAATAAACCAAAATAATTAGCCGGGCACGGTAGTGCATGCCTGTAGTGCAGGTTGAGGCTGTGGTGGCCGGGAGCGGCCACTGCCCTCCAATCTGGGCGACTGAGTGAGACTCCAACTCAAAAAAAAAAAGAAAATGTGCAGTATCTACAGTTAACTTTTCATCACTTGAAAACTTCTACTGCAAGGAACTATTGCGTTTCTTTACCTCTCTTTAAAAATTCTTAATAAGAGTATTCTTATGAATATTGTATTAGATGTTTAAATATTTTTAAAAACATTAAACAGGTCCCAAACCAGGGGATGTGAGGGCCAGTTGGAGACCCAAACTTCGCCTGCATGCAGCCTACTTGTAGCAGTTGATCCTTACTTGTACCCCACATCTCTATAAAAAGCAAAATAAAAAGAAAATTCCCCCCAAAATAAAAAGTCTTACACATGTTAATATTTATTAACATCTTATGTCTAAATAAATACAAGTATCCCCTGCTTACAGTCAAGCCTGGCAGCCCAGATGAGATGACCAGAATAAATTTAAGTCTTAGGTTTCTCCATTCCCCCTCACCCCGTGTGTGTGTGTGTGTGTGTGTGTGTGTGTGTGTGTGTGTGTGTGTGTCTTTTCCTTTCCTAGATACTTCTAAAAAGTGAAGAGGGGAAAGGATGAAGCATAAAGAAGCATTTTTTTCTCTTTTCTTTTTCTTCCCTGTGACTAGCAATAAAAACTCTTGAGAAAAAAAGTTGTATGTTAGCTTTCGAGACAGGAAAGTAGAGAAGGAAACTTTGAGACTGTTTTTCAGTTCCACAAAAGCAGCCGGGAGGAGCAAGAGAAAGAGCACAAAGGATGAGCAGAATCAGTAAGCACCACTCCACAGGTGCACTCTCGCTCAGCCACTAGTGCTCCTCAAGGCAGCACTCCTCCCCGTCCATCTTTTCCCTCTCCATCCAGAATCCTCACGGTCTGCGCAAAGCAGTATTCTCTCAAAGCTTGCCTTCCTTTCACGAATAACAGCAAAGTGCCAGGCTCAGTACCAACTGGATTATCTCTTTACATCCTCACAGTAACCGGAGGACTAAGGCTACACAAGGTTGAGTAACGTATCCAAGGTCACGAGCCTGGTAGGCCGTAGAGTCTGACCTACTGGAAACCCAAAATCTGCATTCTGTTAACTATGTGGCCTCCTCTCTTGCAGATACCAAAATCTCTCTAATATTTGTTGGTGTAATATGAGACAAGTACAGAGCAAAGTGCTTAAACTTGTCATACAGAAGCACTAAGTATTAATTCATACATATAAAGCCGAAGCAAAAAGAGCTCAAGTGCTTTGCTCTAACAGGGGTTAGTTGGAGTGGCAAGTATCAGAATAAGGTAGGTAGAATGGTTTTTTAAATCTTTGGGGACATGAGAATTCAACCGTACTACTTACAAGTGTGGTCCACCAAACAGCACCATGACCCTGGGAGCCTGTTAAGATGCAGAATCTCAGGCCCCACCCCACACCTATGGCATCTGCATTTTAACAAAGATCCCAGAGAATTAAGTCTGAAAAGCACTGCTCTAAAACTTGGAACCACACTTTGAGTGGCAACGGTCTGGCAAGTAGCCCCAGTGGTTCTCAAAAATAAACATAACATCTCTTGGGAACCACTGATCTTGAAATGCAGGACTTTCAAATCAACACAACGCTATTTTCTGCTGAATTTGTAATCCTCAAAGTTTTCCAGCCACCAGCAACTCCAATGTTCCATGGCACTCTTCCAAAAAAACAAATTAAAAAAAAAAAACTGCATTTGCTTTTAGTGCCACAAGGACACAATCTCTTAGAAGGGGATTCAAAAATATAAGACTGTCAAAAACTATATACCTATTGCTACTAATCTTGAAGAAAGCCAATGTAGAAAGTTATTCGTAAAGATTACATAGCTTATAAAGATAAGAAATCAGAGCTACAAATACTTGAGAAAAGTAGATGGGAAGTGCATCCCAGGGTCAACTTCACTTTAAGATTATTAAAAATCATACCTGCTCATTAATGGTACCTTAAAACAAAAGGTCAACAATTTTAGACAAAATGTTAACAAGTTATGCAGTCAAAATTTGTTCTTTCACACATCATGTAGCAAGAAAAGCAGAGTACAAGTAGACTAATTTTTTTAAAGCAATAAAAGGCCAAAATAGCTCAACCTGGTACTTTGAATTTATTTCTGAGAACTATATGCTAATTAAAACTTATTTATAAAAACTTATAGTTGGCAAACAGATTAAGATTCCTCTGTAATCCTAAAGCTTGCAGAAACATGACAATATTTACTATACTTAATGACTTTAGATTTCTTGAATAATCATCTCAATTAGAAACAAATTGGCCAATCTGTGAACACTACACTTAACTGCACCAAATCACTGGCATTATAATACTATCAAAAGTTTCTAGTAGGAGCCAGAAATCAAAATAAAAAACTCTTCTGGTTTTTGTTTGTCAAATAGTCTCAAAAAATTTTAAGGTACCTATGTAGGTTAAGTATCTCTATCCCATTATATAGTTATACTGTATTATAAATTTCATGAATAATATTGTTGTACAGAAAAATGTGATATAAACCTTTTAAGACACTTAACATCTTCATACAACCAAGAATGTACTGCTTCATCTAGACTGCTCCAAGTAATTTTTTTAGAAAACATGCTTTAAAAGTAGAATCCAAGGAACATCGATTGGAAGTAAATAAACACTTAAAGGTAAAAATATTTTACACAGATACAGCAAGGAAAAAAAGATCTTAAAACCTATTCTAAGATTCTCCCATCCTCTTTGCAGCTCTGAGGAAGTTACTTACCCTTTTAAAACCTTGTTGAAATTCCATCCATCTCCTCAGTCCAAGGAACTTAATAGAATTAATTGGATCAAACCTCTTAAGAACTTTGGAGTCTCTCCGATCTTATATAAATAGGGTCTTTGGAATCATGGAGACCTGAGTTTGAATCCATTTAATAGTATGAACTCATATGCAGGTAGCAGCTGAGTGATCTTGGCAAACTACTTAACTTCTGTGTGCCTTTGTTGTTGTTAAATAACAATTGTCACATCTCCATTTTGGAGAGTATAAAGATTAAACTCGTATGAGAACCACATAAAGTATCCAGAATGGTCTTAATAAAACCAACTAAACCTCATGAAAAATAGTTTTTTTAAAAAGCCCACCAAATCTATACTAAGATATGTAAACACTGAACAAATTATATCCATCTTTCCTAAAAGATGAATTAGTGATTTAAAAAGAAGTAACAGCGGAGAAAGTAGTTTAAACCAGAGATTATGGTAGCTTTGGCTTAAATGTCTTATCAAAAAACTGAAATAGTATCATATAGTAATTTCATTTTAATGTCTTTTAAAATTAGCAGTTTCATTTAATTAGTTTCCTAATGGAAAATCAACAAATTCATTCTTAGGGGAAATACACTTATTATTACTTTTAAAATCCTCAGTGTTTACTACTGAGGACATTAAAAGCCATCAGATGGTAAATGTTTTACCTCTAACAAAAGGGTAAAGAGTATTCGACTATTTTTTGTTATGTCTGAAATTTGACTCTCATACAAAGAGTTAACTGAACCAAGACCAGGGGAGGTAAAGATATTTTGGCAATAAAATATAATGAATTATTACAACTACTTTACTCCTGGAAATGCATATATGTTCAATATGAACTTAGTATAAATACACCTCTCTTCACAGAGAATTTATATTCTACTTTCCTTCTGTCCATGTGAAATGCAATATTTAAATTTGAGGATAAAATGTGAGAGGTATGCATCAGAGATTTATAGATACAAAGTTGGCATACACTTTAAATGAATCATTTTATTTGTCCTCACTGTTTGGTCAGAAGTTTTGTGAACTTTGTTTCTTCCCACTGTCATGTGTTTTTCGGTTAAACAAAGTTAATGTGTACAAACCCAGTCCTGTAGGATGTGTGATTCTTACCAGAGAAACCACTGCACTTTCTACATTTCAGCATTCGATGTTTTTAAAATTATTACTGACATGTAAGTCTTTATGCTCACTAAAAGGCCTTATATTTAGAATGGTTCAAAAGGCCGCGTTGTTTTGGCTCACTTTGAAGATATACTCCTTTCAGAAACGAATTTTTGATATTTAAAACATAATCAGGAGATTGCTACAATTGATAACCTAAACCCTTCAATGGCAATTAAAAACCATGCATATACAAAATAGGAAACATAATCCTATTTCAAGGATGAATATACTTTTTAAAAAACTAATCTAATCTAAATAGCGTTTCTTTAAGTTTACAAAAGACTTTAAGGGTCTCCTCTTTAAAAAGTACAAGAGGGACATTTTTCTTTCGATTCGAATGCGAGTGTCACTGATTTCCTACAATAAAAAAATGTATCCACTCTGTCGGCTTTCTGGAGGGAGGTGGGCAGGTGGAGAGATAAAGTAGACGAAAAAAATCCTACCTGGCTAAAAAGAAATTGTACTTATAGTGGATTTTTCGGTGTGGTTTGGTTTGGTTTGGGGATATTGTGTGCCCCTGGGAGAGAGAAGAAAAAAGTTGTAAGGAGTAAAATGACAGTTTACGAGGCCTGTAAACTCTACCTTGGATCAAATTCAAATTCGCAAACTCCACAAAAGTCTACGGATTTGCCTAGAGCTACGGAGAATAAAAGTCAGGGCAGCACCGCCCATCTCGACACCTACTGAAAGCGTGGCGACCTTAACCTCTGCTCACTGTTGAACTTAGGGAGCAGGCACGTTGGCTCTCAGAAGAAAACACAGAAGTCCCAATTCTTCACGCCACTGTCTTTTTTTTTTTTTTTAGCAAAGCACAAACGCATTAGCCTACACAGCCTCGAAATCGCTCCAAGCTGCCACTTACATGACACTGACTCTGGCGCGGCAACGTGCCTGTCTGCAGAAACACACCTTATTCGCGCCCTCGGAAGCCCGGGTGGCACGCACGGATGCTCGCGGCGTCCGCACCGCGACTGCAAAGGCTCCTACCTGTCAGCGTGATCCTCGGGTCTTCACGCACCGTCAGGGCGCCCAGGCTAGGCGAGGCCGCCGGCGCTCCGGCGGCTTTGGAGGCCGCCCCGCGGGCGCGACCCCTCGTTCCCAGGGACAGCAGGCGCCCTTTGTACATCCACTTCTGCAGCTTCTGGACGGCCACCGCGGGCGGCCTGGGGAAGGGCGGGCCCGCGCCGCGCTCGCCCCGGCCGCCGCGCATCGCG